AAAAAAAAAAAAGTTAAAAACATATAATAATCTTATTAAAATTTTGACCTGAAGAAATTACACAACAATTTTTCTTAAATCCAATTTCCGGTCCCTCAAAAAGTGAAATATTACAGAGACGGCCACATCCCACACTGCAAAAAAAAAAAAAAAAAAAAAAAAAAAAAAAACATCTGCATTAAAACTACACTTTGCCTTTCTATGCAAAATCTCATCCAAAAAAAAAAAATAAATAAGAAAAAGAAAAAAAATAAAGTAAAATCATGGCTCTACTCCATTTACAACACCCCTTTTTTTTCTTCTTCATCTTTTCTTCATTATCATCTTCTTCTCTATTTTTTTTTTCATTTTTCATTTTTTTTTCTAACAAGAGCTGCTAACCGAGCTCGATCTTTGCAACGAAGGATTATTCAAGAACTCGATACAATCCTCGATAGCCTCGGCCCTCTGAGAGTCTATAGTCTCCGCGTACGACCGTGATCTCGCCAGGCTGGCGACACGGCCCGAGCATCTTCTCGGGCCCGGCATCGCCGGTAGGGCCTTCGACACTTTCGACCCGACATTTCGGAAAAAATCGCCGAACGAAAATCTCGGCCGCCTGAAAATCCATATCCGAAGTACTATGGCCTTCTTCTTGGTGCCGCCGTAGCCGCCGTCTTTGGTGGCGGCGCCGCCGTGTTTGGGGCTGAAACAAACTCTTTTGCTCATTTTGGTTCTTTTTTTTTTGTTTGTGTGTGTGTGTTGTGTGTGTTTGGTTTTGTAGAGAGAGAGAGAAAGAGGAATTGGGAAGGAGAGGCAGTTGTTGATAGTGAAGGTGGTATTTATTGTTACTTGTTAGGGAGAAAAAAAAAGTAATGCATTTTAAAAAAGAGATAAACAATTAGTAGTAGTGAAGATTTCTTTAAAAAAAAAAAGAAAAAGAAAAAAAATATGAAATATTGACATAGTAATTTGTTCCATGTGAGAGAATATTAGTTATTAGGAGGCTAGGTTGATTTTTTATTTTTTATCTTATTTTATTTTTCCTGTAAAACTAGACGATCCGGTGAGATTGCGATCATTTAAAGCTCTTTTGATTAACTAGTTGAGTTGATATCAGTTCAATAATAGAGAGTTTTATGTAATTTTATGAATTATTAGTTTATCTCGATTTGTTAGTGTTAATAAATGATTCGATCGTCTTGTTGGGCTCGATATTAAGGGTTTTTAATTACGTAATTCTGAACTTTAGTTTATCTTTGACTAGCTCATTGATATTAATAAACAAGTCGAGACGACTCGACGTTAGAGGCTCTAGTGCGATCTCGAGAATCATAAGCTCGAACTCGACTTTATTCATTTTACATCTACTATATTATTTTTGAAATTACTAAAATATCAAATTTTAATTAATACCTTATAGATTGATCATAGATCACATCATGCAAAAGTAAATGCTTATTGCAATTTATAGCTTTTTAGTGTGTTGTGTACCTTGTCTTATTACAATCTCAATTTAATTAGCATTACATTTATCTTTACTATTTCATGACCAAATAATTATTCTCCACAAACATTCACATACTTCATCATTTAACCATGACTATAGGCCTATTTTGTGGCACGAATGGAGGCTATTTTTCAACACGTTTTAATTAATTAATATTTTTTGTCAAAAAATTGTCACTTAAACTAAATAAATATAGATTTACGTGCAAAAATAAAATAAAATTGCGTGCTAGCGAAAAGTTAGTGTTGCACGATTGTAAGCGTGAAGTGATTATTTCAAAGCCTCAAAGGACATAATTTTATGAAAAGGTAGAGTTTTAAAAGATTATTAATCATAAATTATATAATTACCTATAATTCATAATAAAATTAATTTATATAGCTAGAAAAAGGACTCGTGTGGTTGTCTTGCAAGTCATATTTAATTCGACAACGTTGATTGATTAATTTGTCCAATTTCCTAAAACACAATTATTCAAATTTCTATTGCTAAGATTTTTGGGCAAAGTATCAATCACACTATCTCGTCACGCAATTTTATAATTTGCTTAATTGCATAAAACAAAATTAATATACTTCACATTTGGTTCATCTTTTATTTATTTATTTTTTTTTTCTATTATGTTCATTTAATTTATTTTAAAAAATTACAAGGAATTTTGAAAGTAATATTTTATTTGCCAATATTTGCTCCCAAATTGAAAAGGGGGAAAAAAACTTTTGTTATGCAAGTTACATCGCAGTAGGTCTTGTGTTAAAGGTAAATGCTACGGTCCCGTTACGGAACTATTATGTCGTTGTTTGTAACTGTTAGATCAACTATTCCCGACAAGTACATTATGATTAACGGTTACAAACTCCGACAGGACAGTTCCGTAATAAGACTGTATCATCTTCCTATGTTAAAATATATTAGTGGTCAGACAATCATTTTTTTTTTTTTTTATATGAGTGCCTAATGCCAAACAACAATAATATTTGTGATTATTAAAAACATGATTATAGTTTAGAGTATAAGTTAAAATCCCACTCTTTGTAAGTTGCCTTGTCAATTTAGTGCTAGTTATTTTATTTTATTTATTTATTTTCTCTCATAAGTTTATATTATTCCTACCTAAAAAGTCTGATTGAATTGAATTTCCATACACTCCAATGACAAACATCAGACAAGAAAACGAAAAATCTCTGCCTTATTTGCAGACAAATTCCAAAGGGCAAGTTTTCTGTGGTCAAAAAGGAAATAAAAGTTGAAATGGACCCTCTGAAAGGAACAGTACACACATATATATATACGATGTTACAAAATTAATAATATTCCATTTTGGCATTTTTATTTAATAAAATTAGCTAATTCGACTCTACCGATTAGAATATTATATACCTTCATCATCGAATTTTTACCGTTAGGTCACACACACTCAGACGACTATATATTAATCTAGCGGTAAAAACAAAAAAATAGAATATTATATACCTTCATCATCGAATTTTTACCGTTAGGTCACACACACTCAGACGAGTATATATTAATCTAGCGGTAAAAAAAAAAAAATAGTGAGATCACTTCGAATATATCTATCAAAATTACCATATATTTCATTTAATTCAAGAACAAAAAATGTTTCTTAAAATTATAATATATACTTATTTTATTTTCTTTCTTCAAGAATCAAAATGTCTAATTATGGCCCATTTTGACCACCATTTTTGCATCTTTTTCTGCATGCACTCCTCTTTTTTTTTTCCCCACCTTTAATTTACCTTGTACCAGAAACATTAAAGAAACTTGGTGCATTGAAATTAATGTGGTTTGAATGGAAGCATGCTTTTTGACTGTCTGACCATATATAGATATTGACCAATTTTACACCATTTAAGTTGTTTCTTGAGTAGTTCCATTTACTCAGAAAACACAATTGTTACAGTTAGGCTGCTTAATCTGCTTAATCTGCTTATCGAGCGGTCTTTAGGTACTCGTCGCGATTATCTACGAACAAATGCACGAAATAGTGAAAATACGTGCAAACATACATTTATTTTCTCTATATAAAGTTAAACACATAGTTTACTCGCATGTAAATTGCGTAAAACTCGAGCAAACAACAATACAAAATGTTATCAAAAGTAGAAAGAAAGTTCAGTCTGATTGTAACCTCGAAATGTACTGATCATAGTATTTCGCAGCTCGTTCCAATTCTCCGAGTTCAGTATAACAATCGGCTATTGCTCCATAAGCTTCCGTACTTCCAGAATCTTCTCCTTCCCTTTGTGAAATTTCAAGAACAAGCGTGTGGTACTTTATGGCATCTCGATATTTGCCTTGTCTTTGTAGTGATGCCCCTGAAAATGGATACATAATGGTGTTCTTATAAGTTATTTTAGCCAAAAAAAAAAGCTAGTCTAAGTACACAAAACTACTACAATCTTCCCAAGAACTACATTACAAACTCCTCAATAGAAATTTGATTTCATTTTGTAAAGAAAATACTAATAAGTTCAAGAGGGTATCTATAGTTTTAAAAAAGATAACTAAGTTATTGTGTAGTTAGTAGTTACAATCAATCCTCAAGGGTAGTATCAGTAATTATCCCAAAAAGATGATCTTATTGGGAGATTAAATGGGCAATCTAGAAGATAAGATGAAACACTATTGGAGGTCCCATTTCAAACTCTAGCATAAATGGCCCAAGCATAAAGTGTTGTTACATTACATGCTAAAGCATTATCACATATATTTCCTATTTTTAGTTCAGAAAAGATAGTAGTAAACACTTACAATATAAAGACAAAGAAGATAATAAGACATAAGTAAAAAGAAGGCAATTTATGAAATTATGATCATGCATTCATAAAGCGGAAAAAAAAAAGAAGAAGAATAATATTTTTCAGATGAGAATATATATACCTACGCCTCTTGCAGCCTTTTTTTCCTCGATCGGATCTTTCAGATTCTGCGCAAGCTCAAGTGCGGATTTGAACTCGGCGAACGCCTTTTCTGGTTCTTGATTTCTTAAGAATCTTTTCCCGTTTTTGAGACGGGGTATTAAATCGGGCTTTCTGGGGTCAACAATCACTTCATCCTCTGTAAGCTTGCCACTAACCGGAGCATAACTCAAACTCGGGGCATATGATTCGATCTTAGCTTGCCTTCTTAGTGACTCGTTGATCTGTCTAAGTTGTTCGTTCAGTTGCTGCAGTTCTCCTTTCCTCTTTCGTGCAACAAGTCCTTTATTATGGAGATTTAAAATAAAAAATAAAAATAAAAATAAATAAATTGTACATGTCAAGAAATCAAAACAATATATTTCTTGCAACATTTTGATGGGTGGGATTGATACATTTTCTAATATTTCCACTAAAGAAACAATTTTTATTTTTTATTTTTTATTTTTTGTCACAACATTGCTTGTGAAATTGTCTAAAAAATAGTATGTAATCTCATTTTACAGCCATCGATCACATTTTTAATAATAATATCAGTGAGAAACAAAACACATCAACTACTATACTATCATCACACCTTTATCGATCACATCCTATATCACTAAAAAATTGCAAAATAAACAGCTCTTATCCTTGAGCATCTTGCAACTTTCATATAAAGTTTTGCAGCTCACAAGCATTATCCGGATTTTAGCAAGAACTCGTGAAGGGAGATGTTAAATCAATGGGTTACATATGATTCTTTCTGTTCTAATTAACCTTTGTATAATGTTCTAATAAGATATTTAGCATATGAATGCATTTTTCAGCCAAAAAAAAAAAA